TGCTGATTCTTCAGGAGCTTGAGTAGCAGTTGCTGTTTTCCACCATCTAATTGACAACATCAGAGCTCACCTGATCGCGTTGTCTCGTGCACCAAGCTGATAGCCTTCCTTTTGGTACTGAGGTCGTTGCATAGTTGATACTGTGTGCGCATTCAGACATGTATGTGGCCATGGTCTTTTTATTTGATACCAGGTTATAGCTTTGTGAAAGTACAAGTGGACTGACCTTTTTTTAAATCGAGTTTGTAATCTGAAAATATTTGAGACAAAGGAAGGCTGTTATGTGGTACAGCAAAGATTTATTTCATTCTAATGAACATGCACAGCAGATTCAAGATTTCTGAGGCAAAATACAAATTCATGAAAATCCAAAGTTGGATTAGGGTTTACTTTAATGTGGTTAAACACGTTCAGAATTACTCCTTCTTGCCACTGTGGCAAAGAATATATCCTTGGGCACTGAAATGGAATGTTAGGAATCTGAATCAAGTGCTGTGAAAGCTGATGGATTTAGCAGACTTTACGTATGTGTGTATATATATATATATTTATTTATTTTTCCTGATTTACATCATCTTGTATTAATGACTGGATATTTTTTTGAGATCTTGCTCAGCAGTGAAGTCCCACACTGACTGCAGCTCTGTTAGGCCTGCCAGCATGCTGCAGTTGGTTTCGGACAGATCAGAAGAAAGGCAAAACATTCTAGAAGGCATGCAGGAATATGGAAAGTATCATGTACCTGACACCTCAGTGTAGTCTGGGAAAAGCGTGTGGTTCAGATCCAGGTGGAGTCTAGTGGCTGTGCAGTCTCGCTGTATGTATTCTGTTGTGCTCTCTGTTGCTCATGAGAATTGTATTTCTGATTGCAGGAGATAAAACTTGATCCAAAAAATCATTGGTGTTTATCATGTAGTGGCTGTACTTTGAAGTGAAATTTTGCAGAGAATATGCTAGAAAGAGTTTTTAATTTTATTTAATATAGGGAAATTTATTTTTTGTTCATTAATATTTGTAAAAAGCAGTTTTAAGAACGATATGTAACTGCTATACATTGAAGACTGTGAAAAGCAAGAACAGTGCAAAATCCTAACCCTGCCCCAAAATTCCTCTAAGGTGACCTCTCAATATGACATACTCAATTATTACTGCAGGACCTGACTGCTCTCTAAGAACCGTCAATATGGATGGAACGTAATTGCAGTTCCTGTGGTGCTTTCTTTAAGATCACATTTGTCTGCTGGCAAGTACTACAGTTACTAACGTGGCATATAGTATGTGAAATGAAACTATAGACAATACTAGGCAGTTTAAACTGTTCTCCAGTTTATTTTAACTTAGACGAGTGAAGAAAAGACATAAAAATGTAGTACTACAAGTAAAAAAATTTAAAAAATCAGCATGTGTATGTAAGATGTATTCCATGCCTTTCCAAAGCATGTAGATTAGAAACAAGCTGCAACGCTTCTCTGTGGAAAAAAAAAAGCTATTAAAATAATCAAAAGAATGTAAAAACCTTGTCATTTAGTAATAATAATATAAAGAAAGCATGGCAAAGAATGACAGTGCTGTTTTGTGGGCACTTTAAAGGTTTCCTGATGTTTGTTGTTATTCTGTGGAAAAGGAAGACATTCAGAATATTTGTGAAACAGTTCTTTTAGGAAAGATCAAAAAAAAACATTTTTTTTTTTTAATTATTTCACTTGGGTCTCCCTGAAAGGGATTGTAAACCTGCCCTGGAGTCTAGAAACTTTCTTGTCTAAACTTGGTCAAAAGTGGTGTGTCAGCGTTATCCAGACTGAAGGATCTCACTGGTTTTAATACATAGAAGGTTGTATGTTATGTTCCCAAGTAACTTGTGAAGTTAGACTAGTGTTTTAAGTGTAGCATGTAGGAGGTTCACAAAGTGACAAGGGAATACCTTTTCCTCTCGCTGAGTATTGGCACTTTTTTTACCTTCACAAGCAGTGATATTCACTGAACGTGGTTACAGCCAAAGTAGTCTTTATTGCTTTTGTACCAAAGTAGCACGCAAACAGGAAAAGCCTGGTTGGTATTCATAGCTGTGTGGTTTTCGTCAATCGTAAAAGCAACACAGAATCTGCTCGGGAAAGGTAGTAGTCCCAGGGCTAGACCAGCAGTGCTTGTGTAAATGGCATGGGATCTTGTCATGTCTGAATACTCTCCAACTCTGAGTGACTTGTACTTTGATTTGGAAAAATAATTCAATAACTCTTTAAAAACGAGATTTTAACTAGGCATATACTGTAAGATAGATCTAAATATTAGTTGCAGATAATGGCTAATAATTTTAATGCTTTTCAATAAGGAGTAAAATAAGCAGAAAAACACTGAAACAACAAATGAGATCAGCTTGCATCTGAGCTATTGACTGAGTAGCTAGTACATTGTGACTTATTACTGATTTTTTCTTGAAACATTTGTGAAGGTGTGGAACAAAATCTTTGTTTTGAAGGAGTAATACTAGCTACAAGTTAGGAAGAAAGAGCTGTTTGTAATCAAATGGCATATAGTAAACTGAGTATTTATATACCTCTAAGATGTTAAAATTTTCTAAAATTACTGGGTTAACTCTGAAATGAAGATAATTTCTGTCTCTGGTGCTTAGCTTTGCTCAGACTAGATTAACAGTTGGACTGACATTGTGAGGACATTTTCTCTTTTTTTTTCTCTTTCTTTGTGCTGTATTGAGACCATTTATATCTGTAACTGAAGTAGAATTGACTGGTAGGTGAGTTTTACAGGAGCTAAATGCAGTGTGGACTGAAACACTTCATCATAGCAATTAGGTCTAAATCCTGTTTCTACCAGAAGGCCTCCATCACCATCTTCTGATTTGATGCTCTTCCTTAGTTTGTCAGAGAATTGGTTAATAGGTAAGTGTCCGTTAACAGTAACTGGAACTGCAAAGCTCAAATTAAAGAAGGTAAAAATAATATAAAGGAAAAGCCTGTAGAACTGCAGTTATGTTTTGATCTTTTATTTTTCCACGTTACTTAAAACAATGTTTAATAGCACTGTATCTTATTTTTTACAACAAAATATTTTCATGTATTCATTTTCTGCTTATAACTGAAAACTTCATACAACAGTCACTAAAAATCAGCACCTAAATCTTCATAATACTGTTGTTCTGTAGTGCAGTTTTGTTTTGTTTGGGACCATGGTTAGAGATCTTACTCTGTATTCAACATTCTCTTATTTTTTTGTCAGTGCAAAATGTTTTTAAGGGGGAGATAAACATTTACAGTGTATTGGTAGCAAGGCCATGATTCTAACATGAAACAAAGAGTTAACATTGGTGTTCATCCATTAACTAAAGACTCAGATGTATCAAAAAAACCCAGAACAACTATATTTTTATTTAGTGGTAGGTGTGTATTTGTTTTTTAAGCTTGTTTTTCCAGGTGATAAATTGAACTGCCTTTATCATTTGGATATATATTATAGGCCTTTAAAATACCAACAATTCTAAACAGTTTGCTAGGGTCAAAAATTCAGATATCCATAAAGCTTCTTGAAGAAAGGGAAAAATGAAAGTAATAAAAATCACCCCCCCATATTTTAATGTAAGTAAATTCTTGAACATGGTATTTTTATACAAAGCTATATTTTAATCATAAATGCCATTCTATTCCTCAGTCAAATATTATGACAAATATAGGGCACAAAAACATTTTATTGCAATGATTAGAACACCACTTCTCAACCTTCTTTATTAAAAAAACAACAAAACACTAAAAACAAAAAAACAACCCCAAAACAAAAAAACCCAAACCCCCAAACTCCAGGGATCTATATCCTCAGCTGGTGTAAAGCAGCACAGCATCTTTAAAGTCATGCAGACACTTGGCTGGTGAGAATCCAGCCCTGGAGATGTAGTGCACAACAGCAGTCTGATGTAAGATACATTTAGCCACAGGAGTTCCAAAGCACTCCAGCAGGGCAGGTTCAGACAAGTGCATTTCAGCCCACCAGCATATTTCAAATGGTGTGCTGGTTAAATGGATTAAACTTTTGATGACATTTTTCATAACAAGAACAGCAGAAACAACAGGAGCTTTGAAAATAAAGATAGACTACTTAAATAGATGATAAAAATCTTAACACTACTAGGTAGACTAGTGTTAAATAAAAACTGTCTGTAGGTTTATAATAAATTAAAAATAACCTTTGGGTTTGAGTCTGATGCGGTATTTAGGGAGAAGTGAAGTTATTCAACGTCTGGATTTGTAGAGCTACTGGAGTGCATTTCAAAGTACTGCAGTGGTATGAAATGAAACCCTTTAAAATAAATTATACAGTGATTGGTGTAAAAGTATAAATTGATAGTAAGTAATTATCCTGGATCATAGCCAGTGAAGTGTTGGTAGACCAGGTAAATTGAATGTGGTGTTCGTTCATTTTCTGTGGAATCAATTTAGCATACGCGGGACATAATTTCATGCTGGCACTTTGTTAATGGATGAGTAATAAATCAGGCCACAGAACTCCTTAGAAACATGAAAAAATGAAGCTGTAGTTCAATAAAAATAATAAAGTGCTTTAAATGAGCATTTGTTGTTTACTACATTGTTTCTCATTTCATGGTAGACATCAAAACCAACCCAATGAAATATGATAGTGCTCTAGAGTAAGTAAAACTGAGCCTGTTACTTACTGTATACAGTATTTCCAGGTATTTTCTTGTCTTGACGTTAGACTTAGTTTACTGTGGGATCAGAGAAGAAGCTTAGAGTACGGGTTGAACTTGCACAGACATAAAGATCACCATAAATATTCTCTATTTTAAAGTTTCCATTTGCAAAAACGTGGATGTAAGAAGAAGGAAGCAGAAAGAGCAATTTGGAAACAGTTCATATCCAGTGTATGTAGCCAGTTTGCCTGAAATACACTGTTCAGTTTTGTAAGACAGAAGAGGGTTGCTGGGAATGTGTAGAAATCTGAGAATTTATTCCAAGTCCATTGAGTGATAGCTGCTATAATATGGATGCTTCTTCCATGGCTTCAATCCACCTAAAAAGGGCAGGAAAGAAAAAGTGGTACATATAAAATTCTATGCATTTTAAGAACATATGTATTTTAAGAAAAATAAGTATTTTAAGAATGTAAAGCCTGAAGAGGACTGTATTTCCTATCCCAGCTCTAATAAGGAACTATAGTTTTGTGAGTAAAGCAGAGAACTGGGTACTACAACTCTTGCATTCTAGTACAACCTTTACCAGTAATTTATTGTAAAATCTCAAAGATAGTACAAGTGCTGTCTTAGAATAGGAAGGATGAGACCACTGAAGTATTTTTAAAGCAACAAAACCTCCCATAAACACTCATTTCCTTCCCTGTGTGTCTTGAGGTGCTGGCATTTTTATTACTAATTTCATGACTATTTTCTTATGTGGAAGCAGTAGCATTAGAATGGGAAATCTAAACAATTATTTGTTGATGAGGAAACTGAGAGATGGATAAATAGAACACATAAATCAGAGAAGTTTCTGTACAGTAATCACATTTGACAGACTTCTAGGCATGACTTTTGAGACTCAGCCTCCTCTTTACCTATACAAGGGAGCAAATTCTCCTTCCTGAAGGAACTGAAAAGCACCAGGTAGATTTTTAATGTCACCCAGGCCAGTCACATGCAATTGGGCTTAATCAACACTCTGAAAGCTCACTGTTTCCTCTGTTATGAAGACATTCTGAAGTGAAGGAGAGGGAAAAGCCCTACATAAGCTTTTGGACCTGCACACTGGCTAGTGTGGAAGTCTACCCCCATACCTCTGTGCTGAATTGTTATCCTCTGCTCGGAAGCTATAAAAGAGAGTCTGCTTGTGGTAGAGATGGAAAACTGTGTCCGTACTTCCTTCCTCCTTTTCTGGGGCAATGGTGAAACCCAACAAAGGCAAACTTTCTGTGGCAACTTTGTCCTGAAAGCAAACAAGAAATGAACCAAAATTTAGAGAGAAGGCTTGTAATGATTTGAGGGCTCTTTCTGAAAACCAAATAATGATATAACCCCTCTCTGACAGGGCTGCAAAAGCAGTGGTGTGAATCTTCTGCTGGATTGGTGGCTCTTACCTAAACATGAGCAGTGCCTGTGTACTGCACGTTTCTCTCATCTTAGTCCTGAACTCAAACACTCTAAAAGTCCAGTTCTTCATGATCATCCACATGGCCATGAAGGTCAAATTAGCCATTACTTTAATGGCTATCTTTGACTTAATGGTCCAGGAGGCAAACTAGAGGTTACTGAGAGTATGGGACAGTACAGCAGCAGTTCTGAAAGCCTGAGACCCACTGCCAGTTATGTTCCTTTCAACCATTTTTATTTGCTGCGTGCAAGTAGTCATCTTTTTGGTACCTTGTCATTTCCTTTCATAGCACTAGCAACTTTTTTAGAAATCTGCACTGTCTCAGACAGCACACTTGCTTTCCAAAATGCTGCTCTGAAATTTCTGAGCTGGTAATGCTATTAATTGTTAATTTACTCCCAAGAAACATGGATGAATTTTGCTTGCCAGACACTGCTTTGTACAAGTTAAAGGAAACAATAAGCCTTAATCAAATTGCAGTTTAGCTGTTACTGATAGCTGCAGTTTTGGTCACTGTATTTAGGTAATATTTTCTACATGTGTATGTTGCCTTTGCCTCTGCTTTTAGAAGCTAAATTGCAAACTGGGAATGCAAAGTGTAATTAGATATCTATTGCTTTTTCCCTATTGTTGAACCAAAAATGATCACTTTTAAGGTTAGCAGAGGTAAGGTAAATGTATTGGATACAGAATTTAATGCTAATGGTCTGAATTGCTGGCCAAATCATGAACTCTCTTGTGCCTCAATCTCTTCACCTGTTTAAAGGGGATAATGTTGCTTCATGCAACCATCACAGTGGTGATGAAAGTTTAAATAATTGACGTTTGCAATGTGTTCTGAAGGCTTAAAGTACCAAATATTGCTATTACTATGGTTCTTGCATTCTGTGTCCTTTGTTCAGCAAAATGAATTTTTATGCTTCTGCTTATGAAATCTGCCAGTTATAACCAAACTTTGTATCACACTTACTTCAAGTTTATTTGTATCGCAACTATTCACAAAGGAGAAGAAATTAAAATAAGGGACTAGGAAGAGACAAAATGCATAAAAATTATCTAGTTGATACCCAACCTCCTTGGCTGTAAGGAGGAGCTTACAGGCCAATACACAAGGCAGCATTCTCACCTCTGCAAACTGCCTCTTCTGTTTCCCTGTTGGTACGTGTAGGACAAATGTGTCCTATTTATACTTGCAAAACTACAAGTTTCTCCTCCCCACCATAAATGGATCATAGCATCATCAATCTACAAAATATGTGACAGTTACCAAGTGCACCAGAGAATGCCTAAGGACCTTGAAGTCTTTAGGTGTAAATATGTAGACTAACGTTCATAGTGGTTGACGGTATATAATAGCATGAATAGCAAGAAGTCAAAGAATGAAGGGCAGTTTGTGAAGAGGGTTGCTGAGGACTCAGTCTGTTAGGACCAGGTCTCAGAAGGCAGGTAGTTGTGAGAACTGCCATTTATATGTATCACATTCATTTGTGGCGCCTGTAGGGAGTAAAGAAGGGAACTCAGACAGGAAACTATTTCAAGTCAGATTGCACAGTACCTCGTTTGCTATGTAGGTGTAGAGGACTTTCCCTTTGATAACAAACCAGCGTTTCTTCCAGTGTCTTTTGCCTCTCTTACATCTGCTGAGGTAACCACTGATGGTAGCTCCCTCTCCTGAGGCTGCCACCTGGAGCAGGGTAGGAGAAATCAGGATTTGTAACAGCAAAGGCTTCTCCCCTCCTGATCATGCATGTTTGCATCACACCAGACAACAAGGTCTATGTCCATGAAACCATAAGTATGCCATTAAAATATCAAGACAGAAAAAATATAAGCACTTAGATCTAAGTGCTTAATGTTCTTAAAGATCCAGATTTTGAATAGATGGAACTATACACACACACACACTATGCAGTATGGGTTATTAGTTACAATAGTAAACTGCAGTAGTATTGGATTTAGAAACAAAGGGCAGAGATTGGAAACCAGCTTTTGTAGCACTGACACAAGAGAAGACTGAGCAGTAATATAGCAGTGTTTTGCAGCAGAGCAGAAATGTTCCAGGACCTGGATAAAGCAAGTTAGAAAAAGTTATGGAGCAATGCTATTGTGAGACAGTTTATATTAACAAACATGTGCTGCCTCCTTGTGGATAGAAAGGCAATGCTTTTTTCCTAATGGGGCTGAAATTTTGCCTGCTGGTTCTGAAATTGGTGGGAATTTTATTTGTTTATGTTGGTGGGATCAAGATTTTAACCATTTGATTTGAAATAGTTTGGTTTGAGCTGGAGGGAAAGTGCCTGATTAAACATGTATGCTCCTGAACTGATTGCCAAGGACTAGAGTCTATTCCCTAAGTAAGTGGTATTTTATTTCTCTTGAAATCAAAATAAGATTTCAGAAGTAAGAGTCTTGTCAAAAAAGGTAACTGGTCAACAGTATATCATGCTCTGTTGATACTTGTCATTGTCTGTGATCTGCCTTGTTGTACTACCTGGTACCTTGAAGTCATCTTAGTTTTCTAAAGACTTCACAGGCTGATGAGCAAATTAAAGTACACTGCTCTAATTCAGTTTCTCAGTGGGCTCAAGAAGCTTCTGTGGTATCTTCAGAGCTCAGAGTATTTTGTATTTTAAACACTATTATGAAAAACAGAAAAAAATAATTGCATGATGAAAGTAGACCAGGGCATGGGCTGAGCCCACTGCACACAGAATAAATTATAAACATAGCTGCTAAAGTATGAGCACACAGTTCTTTGCAATTCCTTGCCTTTCTCAGGCAGCTTTGTCCTACCTCCATAAGAGCTGAAGGGATCTTCTTCTGTTTCTTAAAAGATGAATAATGAATGTTGTGGAAGACAGAGGAGAAGGCACTGCTTGAACACCTGGATGAAGTTGGAGGGAAGCTCACACTTAGTGGCCGCTCTGCAAGATTAAGAAAATTCAGAAAGGGAAGGGGGAAATGGATGAATTGGTACATATCAGACTACGGGTAAGAGACACACAATACACTAATGCAAATGACTAAGGAAAATGCAATGCCTCCTCCATAGCCGGTTTTTATTTTAGCTTTTCTTTCAAATCACCCCTTTAAGTCTGATTAGATGGGTGGATTTCATAGCACCCTAGGTTAATGGTAATAACCTACAGCTACTTCAAAGAAGCCTGCAAGAAAGCTGACAAAGCACAAAACATAGTTTGTTTTCTTCTAATTTAAAATCAGCATTAAGCAAATGGCTTTTCCATCTATCCCCTCTATGTTCTGTAACACCTTTGCAAGATAGATTCACTAATGGGACATTCTTTCTGTATGAACCATTCTCTTTGAGTTCTGCATGGGAGTTATTCTGTCTCTGTCAATCTTCATTAACCCCAGTTGTCTGAGTTCATATCTTCGTGATCTCACTTCTGGCAACACACATTGTCTGGAAGCTCTTAGTAAAGCACAGCATTGTTTTAGCACAAATGTGAGTTATCACTTCTTGGACATGCAGTGGCTTGGGGATACTTTTTTGGCTGTTGTGGCGGCATCTGTTCATTGTTTGCTTGGCTAGTGTGAATTTCTTTAATCAGGATGGAAAAACTAAACTTCATCTGTCCCCACCTTTTTATCCTTGACAGTATAATGTGCCTACTTTTAGAGCTTGTCTACATGAATAGTTGTGCAAGAACATTATTTTCTGTTGATTCTCTGTTCATATATATGTAACCCCTGCTTTTATCTTTGATTTGGATGTGTATTTAAATCAGAAAAGGGACTTATATAGTAGGGCAATAATTCAGAGTTCTACTTAGGCAGCAGGCTCTTCTGCTTTGAATTCATGCCTTCATCTGTAACCACATTAACTCGCCATGTAGAAAAGCTCTTAGTGACTCTGCACTTTACCTCAGCATTTGTTGTTGTAAAAGCTACAACATGGATGAGGATAGTGAGGAACTTACTGTAAAGCCATTGTTTCACTTCAATGGATAATTCATTAGAAATGACAGGGAAGAGCTATTATCTATAATTACATCACAGAATAGAATAGTTCAGTTGGAAGGGACCTACAACAATCATCTAAGTTAAAGCATGTTATTAAGGGCATTGTCCAAATGCCTCTTACACACTGCCAGGCTTGGGGCATTGACCACCTTTCTAGAAAGCCTGTTCCAGTGTTTGACCATCTTCTGGGTAAAGAAATGTTTCCTAATGTCAAGTCGGAACCTCCTCTGACGAAGCTTTGAACCATTCCCACGTGTCCTGTCACTGGATCCCAGGGAGAAGAGATCAATACCTCCCTCTCTGCTTCCCCTCCTCAGGAAGCTGCAGGGAGCAATGAGGTCACCCCTCAGCCTCCTTTTCTCCAAACTACACAAACCCCATGTCCTCAGCCGCTCCTCAGAGGACATAGTTTTTATCATTTTTCTGGTTTATCAAAAGGCCAGGAGAGCCCTCAGAGAACCTGGCTTGCTAAAACAGTTTTAGCTGCTATACAGCCTGGCACTCCTGGGACCTCAATACATATGCCTCGTGCTTGAAATGAGAAATCCTCTTTAACATGGTAGGCAGATCCTAAAGGCTCCCCATTATACAGGCAGGAAATGGGCTTGTCAGTTTTGCCAAGAATGAAGGAACCTTACCTCTTTTCTTAAGTTCCACATAGCAGCTATCACAGACTTTGGCTGCTTGATCTTTGAGGTACTTCATAGGGTACTTGTTTCTTGAACAATTTCGGCATACAATCTGTTCCAGCAAGGAGAGATGCCCGTAAATATAACTTAAATTTATATACATGCACATACAAAGCAAATCTTCTGAGCTGGCTGGGAGAGGAAGATGGATAGCGGACCAGATATGACTCTCTCCTAAAACTGTAGCAGTCAGGGCAAGTCTACTGGCTGAAATGTGATTGCTGTAGATTTACACTGTTGTAAGCCAAGCAGAATTGATCACTGTATTTGGTTGCACACCATTGCTGTGCCCAAGTCCCCAGGAATTTATACTTCAGTATTACTTTTGTTTTCATAGCTTTGTTAGTAACATTGTTTTCTTGAGCAAGCCTGCATGTTCCCACTATCCCTGGGTACACACTGATCTTCTCTGTGGAATTAGAAAAAAGATTAAGTAAATGCTTTTTTGTACTAGCAAAAATTACTGGTAGCTTGATAAAAAAAAATCACTGAGGCTAAAAGACAGCCATGGTTTAAAACAGGACTGCAGGTTTATGTGTATAAACAAATATCTAGAGTCAGTGATAAAGGGACAAAACCAAGAAAGCTTATAGATCCCCTTGGCTTCAGGGTAAGAGGCAGCAGCTCTTCAATGGAGCACAGAGGAAACTTTCCCTTTGGTCACTGACCAAACCATGCTCTGCTGCTGAGTGTCTTCACTTTTCTTGGAAGATGATTTTACCAGCTGTTATTAGGGACAGGACATGGACTAGATGTGCTACTGCTCTGGTCTAGAGCAGAGCCTATATTTTTGGTGTATTGCTTCATTGTCTCTAGAGCTAGCTGTATATCAGATATAATGGCTGGACTCAGCAACAATTACCCTGTAAGCCTTCAACTACTAGCCTTTGGGAATTAATTTGACCCTCAGGGGAAGGTTACTGTTGTTCCTACTAGAGTCATTAGAAACCTAATTACCTAATTTATCAAAGCACTAACAGGTTCTGTGAGAAGTCAAATTCTGGTCTTGATGTTGCTACAAGTTTGCAAAAGTTACAGCAGTGGCAGCCAGTGTCCTAGAGGTGTGAATAAAGCCTCCCTGAGAACCTTGTACAGCTCTTACCTTCCCACAGGCATGGCAATGATGTCGCCTCAAAGTGAGGGTAAAGTCACAGCCACAGTTCATGCACATCATGACATGGGACACAGGTACCAAAGTAGGAGGCCTCTCACCCAAGGGTATTCCAAGCCTTTCCCTTAGCTTAAAATCAAACAAGAACAAATGAAGAAGCATCCATGCTTCCAAAGTACGCTCAGTCAGCCCCCCTCCATCACATACAATTCTCGTCTCATTTCAGCCTACCTTCACCTGCTAAGATCCCCAAATTTTCTAATTCCTAATGCACATTGTAAGTGAGATACAGCTGCTTCAGCACTGAAAGACTGTGGCCAATCAGTACGTGGTGCTGTTAAAGCCAGAATCACAACAGGTAAAAATCCATGTAGATTTATTGTTGGTCAGGCACTGACACTCTTCTGCATCAGGGAAGGATCTGATTCATTGCATATGCAAATTGCAGGTAAGGACATGAGTTAAAGCCATCTTTTTATTAACAGCTTTTGAAATAATATCCGTAAAAAGCTCTATAGCTTTCAGTCAAAAAGGGCCTGAGCTCTTTATGTCATTATACCTTGGGACACTTCTATGATCGGAGAAGCGAGAGTACAGAAAACAGTAAAACCAAAGATTAATGTACCCCCACACAATCCAAATCTGATCCATGTTTTCCATGGCTGATCTGAATATATGTAAGCAGCTTTAGAAAATGTATTCACTGTTCCCATTTCTTGGAACACACCACGTTGCAGTGTTGTACAGGTGCCTTTGCTTCAAGCCCAGGGAGCCATGGTCAATGTGGAACTGAACCCAATCTAATAAGCTCTGCTGAGAAGCTGTGTTACTTCAGGTTCAGCACCAAAGTACTATGGGTACCCCACTGTCAGTTCACAGCAGCTTAGTGTTTGGCACAAGTAGTGCAAGCTCTTGTGCCTTTGAAGGACTGTTTGTTAGGACGTTTCCTATAAGGAAATTAGACTTCTGCAGACAAATAGGATTTAAACACAGAAAAATCAAATTCCTCCAAATTTCTCCTTGCGCGCATTCAGGTTTACATCAGAAGCAGAGCTGCAAAAAAAATTATTTTTTCATTTGCTGAAAAAGGATTTGGTTTAAGTTGCTGTACTAATTTCTAATTTTTTCTTGTTAAATATTTGAACGTAGATTCACTTCAGGCCAGAAGGAAAATCCTGTTTTGTTTTTTGAATTCATCTTTTACTTCCTGAAGTCTTCAAAAATTAAATCACAGAATCACAGATTGGTTGAGGTTGGAAGGGACCTCTGGAGGTCATCTGGTCCAACCTTCCTGCTTAAGCAGCGCCACCTAGAGCCAGCTGCTCAGGACTGTGTCCAGGTGGCTTTGAATATTGCCAAGGATGGAGGCTCCACAGCCTCCGTGGGCAAGCTGTGCCAGTGCTCAGTCACCCTCAGAGTGAAAAAGTGTTTTCTGATGTTCGCGGGGACCTCCCGTGTTTCAGTTTGTGCCCATTGCCTCCAGTCCTGTCACTGGGCACCACTGAGAGGAGCCTGGCTCCATCTTCTTTGTACCCTCCCTTCAGGTATCTATACCCATTGATGAGATCCCCCTGAGCCTTCTCTTCTCCAGGCTGAACAGTCCCAGCTCTCTCAGCCTCTCCTCAACTGTGAGGTGCTCCAGTCCCTTAATCATCCTTGTGGCCTTTTGTTGAACTCTCTCCAGTCTGTCCGTGTCTCTCTTGTACTGAGGAGCCCAGCACTGGGCACAGCACTCCAGGTGTGGCCTTAACAGCACTCTTTTTTCCCCAATTAGTCTTATTTAGTAAAACTGGGGTTCTACATAACCTAAAATAGCATTTTTACTTTTTGTCAGATGCATTCTTTGCCTTCTTAACTGGGAGTAGTACAACTGAAATGAATGAGATGATAATAATATACATCAGTTGTGCTGATACAATTAGAATATTGCTGGTGGGGTTTGCACTGGCAGTGACTATTGTGTGTATGATATTAGTGTAACTACTGGGTAGTTTTGTTTTCTTAAAGTCTATGAAGTTTGTAGCTATTTTTAGTTCATCCAAAATAGTTACCCTTCAGGACAAAATAGTCTTCCTCCAGAAGAACGCCTATTTAAGCAAAGACCACAGAGTATAGGGTGTGATTAACATTTCAGAGGTGTCCCATGAGCTGCAATGAGCTTCATTATTTAAGCTTGGCATTCTGGTTTAAATGAAAATAGTAAGAATGTTTTCCTACTGGGAACTCTGTGTTTTATAACCCTCCTCCTTTCCCCTCTCTTTCTCTCCCTTCCCCCTTCCCCTTTCAAGCATTGCAAGAGTTGGTCTCCTTTTACCTCCACGCTGCTGTGGAAAGTGGAAGTGTTGTGAGCTTTGTAGTCATCTGGGATGTGTCTGCTGATGCAGCTGTACCAGTCATCCCTTTCTGAGCAAGAGCTGTGGAATGAAATACAGCAGAGCAGTCAATGCCATGCACAGCAGGGACTGAAACAAGCTGTTTCTGGATCAGAGGAGAAAAGCTTCACTTTATGAATGTTTGCTTTTCCCCGCTACTGCATTGAACGGGTTCTTTTCCAACAAGGAACAAAATTGACTGTTGGACATACTCAGCAGGATGATTAGTGTAGGTCCATGGCTAGGACTGTGACTGAGAAGGAACTAAATGCCCAGAAAATTTTTTAAAGTAGTCTCTGACTTCACTATAAGCCGCTCAATCCTAAATCACATAGGGCAATATGAAATGTCTCTTTTTGTCATGTCTGCCCTAGCTTTTAGGTACTCTAGGGCATGTAGGGTTGGCATGGGTTGCTCAAAGTAAGCGTGTTTATGCTCATCTCTACAGTGGGATGCTTACATGATCTGCATGTTGGGAAATGCAGAAGTCTGTCACCCACGGTAGAAATGTGAATGTGAATTTTCCTCTAGCTCCATCACAGACAATCTCCAGTCTCCTGGCAAGAGGCCAGGACAGCAATTTGGGAAGGAAGTTCTGCATTCCCTCTAGTTGCAGTTACGCATGGAGGCCAGTAGTTCTCCAGACTGGCCCCTAGATGCCCCCTTTGCACAAGGCAAAACAGTGACCAGTCTGTGCTTCTCTGCCAGTCAGCTATCCCAGAAAAGCAGCAGGGCTCTTAGTGCTTGTTACTTCCCAGATGCATTCGCTCTGTTACAGCCATAAGCTGTCCTGCCTGTGTTAGCTGGTTTTCCTGCTGTGACTTCAAACTGTGCGCTTCCTGTCCAGCTGAAATGGTGCACAGCTCTAGCTGTTCCCAGCATCAGTCACAGGAGGGAATGCAACTCAGTGTGGTCTCCCCTCCCCGAGTCATACCAGCCACTCACATTAAAGCTACCCACTAGACTTTGTTGTAAAAATTAGCAGTGGCATTATTGCCAGCTGCTGTTCAGCTGTGATTTCCTCACACTGTCCTCATGAAGGCCACCAAACAAGACATCTGAGAACAATTTGTCTTTTGTGGCCTTAAAAAAAAAAAAGGCACAAAAAGGGAGGAAATACCAGATTTTATCAATGGTCTCTGACTTAACATCCCTCTGCACCATGAGCATAAGCCCTTGTCTGAAAAACACCAGCCTCTGTAAAATTCAACAAGCCTGGAGCAGAAATGGGAGCAGAAACTCTGAGCCAGTGTATCTACTTGCATATAGGCTAACCTCTGCAAGCCAAGCAGCTATGTTACAGGAGATCATCTCTGGCAAGAGTCGCACTACTAGTCAGTCCTTATTGCTACCAAAAGTCATGTCAAATTACACTTTCTAAGAAACCTGAAGTTGTCTGTATCTTCCAGACAAGTCATGTTTGCAGCCTGCAAAGCACTAGAAGAAGTCCTGGCTTCAACCTTTCTCTTGCTAATTCTTTCTTGGAAATTCTCTTCACTTGAGAATTAAGATATGATTTGAAAAAACAAAGGAAATCATGACCCATATAGTGGTGTAAATTAAAGCCACTTGGGGAAAGACAGATAAGAGGGACCTTCTGGTATTAAAAGCCTGATACCTAACTGGCCCCTTTAACCTCTTCTCCACTCCATTAAACATCTCTAGGCAGTAATCACAGGTTATTAGTGTCTAAATGTGGGAATAACACCTGTCTGCTGATGAGTAAGATAAATTATGTCAATTGGCACTGGCCTATCCTTAATTAGCTATTTCATTGGTTGCATGAAGGCTCAGAGGAATTTTTGCTGAATGTCTGAGGCTCGAGAAGCTCAGACCTTGATTCACCATTGCCACATTTGGTCCTTGTGTGATTTTTGGGCTGCACCTTTTGTGCTGAGCTAGCAGTTATCCGTGTTGGCTCATATATTCTTCCTTAAGCAAATAGAAAGAGAAGGTCAAATTTGTCACTGCAGTCTCCTGGTCAGCAGGGGACATCCATGGAACACAGAAACTGGACTGGGATGGGATGGGATGTTGTTGCAGTGCTATCACTGTCACTCTGAATTAGTCTTTTAGGGAGGTAACACTGACTGCGTTCTCCCAGTGCTCTGGTTTTTTATATGGGCACCACATGGTTACCCCTGTGTCCAGGGGTAACATTTTTGAAATGCAAATAAGGGTATAAGAGCAGTATGAGCCTTCTCCATAAAGGCTCTGTGCTCAGATCTGTTACCAGCTCACTGCAAGCGGTTAGCGTGGCTCTTCAGGTGATCAAGCCATTTT